TTCTAATGAAGTACCACATATATTTTAACATAATCGAAATAATGCAAAATTCAAATTCAAGTTTTTGTATTACCTACTGTTTTTGTATTCAATTATATTTTGGGACCGATTTATTTATGAAAAAATTACATCTGACAGGGTTAGGAAGGATTTTAATAACTTTTATTAAAAAGGGTGTTACTTAATAATAAGTTTGCAAAAACTTCATTGATGTTTTCTGTTAATGAAAATAATTGGGAGTTGCAAGATGTTAAAAAGTTTTTCATTTCTATAATTTTTCTATAATTATGTAATAAAAATTGGTACTCCCTGAAGTTAGGGACTGAAACAGTACTTTTAATCCACGTTAAATAACACCGAAACCGTGAAAAATCTGATTTCGTTTCGGTATTTATAGAGTAAACGTACATTTTCGGAAAAAAGTAGAGGAGACTAGAGGAGAAAACATTTCAAACAAAAGTTTAAATATGCAAAGCAGATAAATATATAATATATAATAAAATAATGAATCAATAAATACATCTTTATGAAAATGTCGATGTGTTTCAGTGCGTTGATTGACAGCTTGACCAAACATCTTATCTGCGAGATGCGCACATCAAGAAGAGAGCCAATAGTAGGACTGACAAGGACAGAAGACCTTAACAGTACGGCAGATACCTTCTGTGTATAAATTTATTTAGGTTTGGTAAATATAGTTATTTAATGAAGGTTTTATATTATACAGTGTCTTTCCAGATGGGGTACCGTACTCTTGTAAACTTTTTTATTGTTGATTTGTCGAGAAAAAGTTATTTTTAATAAAAAGTTTTAGGAAGCCATGGGTAGTAATCAAAATGTAAAATTCCCTAAGCAAACTGCCTTTAATATTTGTTTTCGTTAAAAACTGTATTTATTAAGTTGTTCGACAAAAAAAAAGAATAATCACATTTTACAAATAAGAAGATGCGATTTTTAACTATTTTCCTTAAAGCAGACAGAAATTATAAAAAAAATAAGCAGTTTTAGTTTAAATTTAATATAATATAAAAAATATAATATAATAAAAAATAAATAAAAATATAAATATAATAGCTTAGCTATAATAGCTAACCAAATAAAAGTAGCTTTTTTAATTAAGAAATAGAAATAACAAGTTAGAACTGGAAATAACAACAACAACGAAACAAGTTCTATTCAGCTTGTAAAAAGTAATACACATTTTTCTAATCTTTTTGTACATTCCTTGTACACCGACGGTGTTGGTGGCAACAGCTTCCTGAATTTTTTGCTTAAGTAAATTAATGTTATTTTCAAATAAGTATTTTAATTAAGACTTTCTTCCAAAAAATAAGGATCAATTATTATTTTATGATACACCAGACATTTACTTTTTTAATCTTTTTAATATTAGTTATCAATCGAAAATTTGGATTATCTTTAGCTCAGTATCTATCTTGAGAGGAAACCACGCCATTAGTTGTGAATATTGATTCGTCAGTAAATAAAATATTGTGATGAAAGAAGCTGTTTTCAATCAGTTTCTCGCCCATTACAAAAGTCCAAACGATAACCATCATCTCCATCAAGCAATTTATGATTAAACACTGGTTGGAATGGATAGATTTTGTTGTATACTAAAATTCTTTGAATATGAGACCTGCTAATATCTATGTTTTCTGACCTTTTCTTGAGTGACATATTTGGATTGTCTTGTACAGAGTCCATAACTACAACAGTAGCAGGATCGTTATCATTGTATTCTTTTTTTTTATATTTTTAATGTTCTTTATGTCACCAGTAGTATCGAATTTTATAATTAGCTAGCGAACCACTCTACGAGTTACAGTTACATTTGGATATTTTTCATTAAAAATTTGTATTGCATGTATGAAACATTACCGATTCCATGACATTTCACAAGATAAATTCGTTGCTCCAGAGTTAGCATTGGTTGACTTTGATATTGATAAAGAAATATGCATGGTAATTATATGGTATTTAAGATAGTTAAAAATTGCGACGTCTTTTTATTTGCAAAATGTGACTATTGTTCTTTTTTGACTACTGTATTTAGGCATATTTTGAAATCTCGAACAACTTTGTCAAAAACAGTTTTTAACGAAAATAAAAATTAAAGTCACTTTGCTTAGGCAAAATTTCACATTTTGAAATTTTTTGGACGTCCTGTATGTTTTATTACATGTTTGCCCATGGCTTCCCAAGATAAGCAAAACTCAAGAATAACTTTTTTTCGAAAAATCAAAATAAAAAAGTTTACACAAGTGCGATACCCCATTCGGGTACACACTGAATATGAGCAAATTACTTGACCCTATTTATACGTATTTCTGTACTTGATCCTATTTACCATGGCCAATAAAACTTATTTATGTACGATATAAAATTAGAAATTTGTACAAAATTCTGAAAGTTGGTATAAGTATAGTCCTGGCAATATACCGAGTGATTCAGTTTGATATTCGCGGCCGTATCTCTTTTATTTTAACAAATAGCTATAACAAACCCTATATATTTTTAAATCGCCGCTCAAACTCTATCAAATGAAATTATTAGATCGTCTCCATGGCAACATGTCAAAATTGCTATAGTCAACTGTTGTTCAAATGACACACTATAATTTTTTTATCAATTCTGGGAGATAATTTTCTGCTTTCAGCTATGAAAGGAAGTCTATAGTTCCATTAGAAATATTGCTAGGAAAACAGCAAAAAAGATGAACCCTACTTTCAATAGCTTTATTCTGAAAAATGATAGCCAGCTGATATGATTTTAATTTATGGAGAGAGCCGAAAGAACGCTAAAGCTGCCATGTATTTTATCACAAAATTTTCGAAAAGTCAGCCAGGAATTTGGCGGCAGATGGAAGTTTTCAAAAGAAATGAAGAGTTTTTTTAACCCAGAAGGGCAAGAGATGAAGAACATTCGATAAAGAATATGAAGAAGAAATATGGCCTGCTAGATTTCCGAATCTCACTCCTATAGATTTCTTTTTTGACCTTACCTAAATGATATTGATTAGCTTAAAAACAGAATAAGAGGAGAATGTCGGAGATTAAATGAAGAAACACTAGAAAGTGTTTGTAGAGAGGGAATGATAAACAGCTATTCTGTGTTTGGAAGCAAATGAAGGGGGTAATTTTGAACAATTGAAATAAGTATTGTTTTAATTTGTTATATTATTATCGTATTAAAAATAAAATATGTTACTTTAAAAAACATAGTAGCTTGTTTCCGCACTGGCTATCATTTTTTAGAATAAAGCTACGAAAATTAGGGTTAACCTTTTTTGCTGCTTTCTAGCAATATTTCTAATGAAATATAGACTTCTTTACATAGCTGAACTCAGAAAAAAAATATCTTCCAGAATTGATGAAAAATATATAGCGTGCCATTTGAATAAAAACAGTTGACTATACCAAGAGATACAGGGCCACAAATACCAAACTGAATAACCCGGCATATGAGAAAAATAAAATTTGCTTCATATTTATACGTAATATTTTATTGTAGGTAAATGTCTTCTTCACATTCACTACCGTCACCATCCAAATCATAACCATCTTAACGGTTTATAATAATCTGATCGATTACCACGTCGAGAAGAGGTTCTAAAGTCATAAATACTGTTTCTATTTCTTTGGTATGATGAAAAATTCATTGCAAAACTTTTCTCCGTGTGTCAAAGTGAAAATGACCCAGCAAGGTCGATAGGGTTCAGATCAGGATGGTATGGTAGTAGTCTCAGAATAACGTGACCTTCTTTTTGTAAAACTGGATCGATGTTGGTTTATACATGATTGTTTATATGATATAACTAGTTTTAACATACTATCCGAAAATTGACCTCATTTGTCTCGCAATCATTGCTTCATTTCGACATGCGGGTGTAGGGCATTTTTCAGTTGCAGATCATAATCTGCAAGCTGAAAAATATAATGTCATAATATAATGCATTGTCAGTCACTAATACAGAATATATAAGGTTTGGTAAATGTTTCGTTTGCAACCATTTTATATAATTTTGATTGTCCAAGTCCAGAAACTTAGTTTTTGATTAGTTAAAAATTAGTGTTGCATTTGGCATGAAACCACTTTTTCATCCATTATGAATTACAGTAAAACGTTGATGTTTTGGTACCGGTCTTCGGAACTATTTTTGTTGCTTAACAAATTTAACTTCAATTCCAGGATGTCAGACGTTCCGTTAATGGTCGTCTTTTGGTCTTCGCTTTGCGCCAACGGAATCCTATGTTGTGCAAAAGTTTATGCAAATTTTCTCAGCCGCCAGTATATCCCACATCCCTATGGAGCTTTTTGTGGATACGTCCAAGTGAAGTTGCTGTTTTTTCTTGAACATACTAATTTTGGACAGTCCTTCCTAGCTCTACACTATCGAAGTCATTCAAATTTGCTGTTGACGACTTCTTTATATTTATTGCACAATTTTTCAGTGCTCTGACACTACTGCCAACTGCCTTTGCAATTCTTCCTAGCACTTTTCCTAAATAAATTAATACATCGTCATTTTGTTCTACTTTTAAAAGTTGAAATATATTGTAAACAATTGTAATTAACACTTTACGGTTCACTGTTCATTTAGACAGAAAATGAGCTCCGGTGCTTGTCTGGTCACGTTGCCATTGCGCATCTGAAATTCGCGAATAAGATGAATTTGGTCAAGCTGTAAAAGTAGCAGATCAAATATTAAGCTTTAGTTCCCATCGCTCGTTCCTAAAACTAAATATAGCGTTCTCACGTTACGCACCAGATGAAATTGGTTGAGCTGCATCATTTATATTACCAAAGCAATGAATAATCCGTAGAAAGTGGAACACCCTACATGTAATAGTTGCGAAAATGGAACAATTTCTAAATCTAACAGAATTTACACCCTGTTACAAAATGAACTACATATAAATGCAGCAACCGGTACAGTTCCTCTACGACTACAGTACGACACAGGACACATCTACCACATTTACAGATTTGGTACTTACTAGCTACCCCAGACGCGTTAGGATCTTTATGCGTGTGCTTCATGTGTTCCATCAGGGCTTCGCCGCCGAGGAACATCTTGTGGCAGAGCGGGCACGACGTGGCGTTCGGTCCGCCAATAAGAGCTGCATGTTGCTGCAAACGACCAATACACTGTTGACAAAAGTGCGCGTTAATTTAAAGTTTAATCAAACCAATGAAGTAACGGTAAGGGAAAAGTTTGCAAGATTGGTTTGATTTTAACTTTATTGTCGTTACTCTTTAAGGTTTATAGCTGGACATTGACTTCCGGTGTACGATGTTGGTATTGTGAGTTGTCGGGTAATATTTTTTTTGTAAATACCTAGTGTAGAAATAAAAATAAGTCAGTCGTTTGTCAATGTTAATTTTCCTAGAAAAAAAAAGAACTGTCTCTTTGCATCTTATTAATTAGTTTATTAATTTTATTTATTGATTTATTTTTAATCAACTTAATTTACTGAAATTCAAACCAAAATGTGTCTATAAAGATGTTTCTTATCAGGACAAACCCTAGAAATATTGACGAATTAAAGGTAACATTTTATACAACAGGGTGATTCACAAACGGTGACCAAAAATGAAACCTCGTATTCTTTGGTGAATTTTAAGGGGAGTATTTCGTATAAAGTTTTTATTTAGGACGTTTCGTTAAAATGATACAGGGTATTAAATTTAAAAAAAATGTTTTTAATTTTTTTTGAAATAATTTAAAAACTAGTAAGTGAAATTATTATTTGAAGTTGGGCACATGTATGCTTGTGAACATTGTCCAAAATCTGAGATCTTTTCCTAAAATTTAGATGCTCCAGTGGCGGAGATACAGGGTATCGGTGGCATATTTTTCTAACTAAAATAGTGCGCCACCGTCACCGCTTGTGAATCACCCTGTATAAAAAATTACAAAGGTAACTTCTCTAATAATATTTTAGATTATTTAAATTTAGATTAAATCAGTAGTGATGGGAAAGAATGAAACACGTTTTCTAAGCATAAAGAACTTTGAAGATTTTAGCAAAATAATGACGAGGTCGTATATTTTTGAAGAAAATGAATTAAGTAGATATTATATTTGCTTTGTGGTTTGTGTTTTGTAAATTAAATGTATGTCTGCAAATATCCCTGAAACCATGAACATCAGAGTTTAATTTTATCTGTATATTTTGTAAACATACTAAAAATCGAAAATACTTGATAAAAATTTATAAATATCTTGAAAATGCTAGACTAAATAGGTGCTAAATATGTAGGTATTACTTGAAAACTTGTTTAAAGTAAACTTTGAAGTACCAATAATACGTATGCTCTTGATTATTTTCAAAAGTGTAATGCAGTTCGACTATTGAACAAAGCATGAAATGGATTTCATAGTTGTTGGTACAGAAATAGCCATAATTCAATATATTTGTGTCACCTTTTTACATGTTTCAACAAATTTGCAAGTTAATGTTACCAATTTTTAAAATAAAAATCAATCACGATAACAGAAAGCTACGATTTAACATTAAGATTTGCTTTAAAAGACTGAAATGCAACTACAATAGGCCCATTCAGTAGAATTTTTTTTTGCACATTCCAAAAGTTTACCCTTTAATTAGTTAGTATGCCAAAAATCAATTTTTTGTTTCAACGAGAAATGTGTGAAATAAATTAATGAAAACAGAGCGCGGAAAAACGTTGAGCAACCATTGCCTGACGTCATAATAGAGCACTCCGCTCACGCTCGCTCTCTTCCCATTCTGTGTTAATACATACGATATGTGGATCGATTCGCAGTTTCGTTAATTATTGTTTTTATGTCTAAATGGGTCGAAACCGAGGATTGTACAAATATTGTATAGTTCCAGGCTGCAAAAGTACCTCAGGATCGACTCCGAATAAAATATTTATTTCATTACCGAAAAATGAAAAGTTTGTGTGATGTTATCTACGGTTTCCCCAGCCACGGTATGCAACTCAAAACCACCTTCGTTTTTTTTTGGTTGCTCGTCTTGGGGGTTGTAAAATATTATTATTTGAACATTTAGAGCACAATTTTCAACTTTATGAAGGAAAAAAATTCTACCCCATCTAAATGTCATGTTCACAAAAAATTCGAAATACGTCGGCGAGAGGGACCTATAAGCAGTTGAGAACCACTCTCGTTTTTATTTGGTTGCCCGTCTAGGGGGTTGTAAATATTATTATGTGAACATTTAGAGCAGAATTTTAAAATTTATACCGAAAAAAAATTTCTACCCCATCTAAACGTACCCGTTCACAAAAATTTCGAAATAAGTCGGCGAGAGGGACCTATAAGCAATTTATTTAAATAATAATATTTTACAACCCCCTAGACGGGCAACCAAAGAAAAACGAGGGTGGTTCTGAGTTGCTTCAAATACTAGTCAAAGTACTACTGGCACATACACGTCGTCGCATACATCCACAAGTACCGAGTCTAGTACGTTGGGTACATTTGTACAAAAATGGAACGCAAAAGAAAATGTAGAAAAGCGAACCATTTACGTCATTGAGAAAAATCCGAAAATGTATTTAGGTATTCCAAGTTATTCTACGTTTATAATAAATATGTTGTGTGAAAATGTATTTCAACAAGACTTGATGTATATCTCTTATACACTCTCTATTTATACACTTAAAAATATAGGTATATAATATAGGTAAAAGTATAGAAAATATCTACACATCTCTCCGACTGCTCGCGACTTGATCGCCGAGTGGCCGGTATCGTGATGTCATTACCTGTTCTCCCGCAGTGTTGACCTTTTTAAGGGTCTTACAAATTCAGAATTAAATGTATCACTTATTATTAATCCTATTGACCTAATTTTTTAAAGATATATTTAGGTGGTTAAATACTATCAAAAAATGAAAGAAAAAGTTTAAAATTATATATCACTGAATGGGCCTATTGGTACTAAACTGACGATATTGCTGGAAATAACTACTCTGCGGTCGACCTGCCCCGATCAGCATTGAATTATACCAACAATATCTAGTAAATATGACATATACCGGCTTCAGACTTATTATTCTTCATTAGTATCACTATATCTTATGCATGTATTTAACAGATGTAACACTCTGTTACGTCTGGCGTAAAATTGATGCTATGGAACAAATTTTAAAAATCCTCAAATTTGCATCAGTTCTGTTGTCTCTTGTTCCTTGTTTAGTTTATTGTAGCTAGGAAATTTGGGACAGTTTTTGCAGAATATGTACTAATATAACCAACTATACTGTACTGTACTACTGTGACCAATTTTTTTATCAATATATTAGCAAATGTAACACGGGTTTTAACTATTTAAATATTTAGTAAAATTAAAAAAATATTGTTAGGTTAGGTTCTGTATCTCGAAAACAGTTGAGTTTATCGATTTGTAACAAGTACACCTTTTTTATTTAGAATTGAACGTAGTTCAATAATTTCCAGTTAAAAAATTAAAAATTGTAAAATATAAAAAGTTAGACATATTTTTATATTGACAGGACAGTACAACTAGCGCCCCCTAGACGTGACCACAACATTATTTGCATATTTGTATTTGCCACCTCAAAACACGTAAAACTACACATTTTTAAAACAATCCAAAATATTTTTTCTACTTTAACACCCTGTAGAACGAATAGGAGCAACAATTGATTAAGGCATGTTTAGCTCAATCGCTATATTTTGACGTTAACAATCTGTCATTGACCTGTGTACCATTATTAATGACTCACCCTGTATAATGATATAAACATAGACAACTTTTCTTTCAAAATATGTTTTTTGCACCCGAATACCAAAAGAAAACGAAGATGGCGAATTGGAAAATAAAAAATAATACGTCTTAATTAAAAACGGTTAGTTTATTTAATATTTTATACCTTTTTCCTGTATCTACAGAAAATCTATTATTTTTTCACAAGATAGCACGCTGTATGCCAGTGGCGGCTGGTGAAAATTAAAGTGGTAGTATTTTGATTAAAAAGCCTGAAATTCATACTATCTTTTAGGGAGTGATTTCTAGGCCCACAAAGAGAAGTTTTATGATGAAAAAATAAAAGTGAAATTAGGGGTTACCGACCCTGGAGCCTCGATAAGGGTTTTTTCGTATCTCTAACAGCAACAAAGTAAAATGGGAGGGGTGGAATTTCCCCGTGATGCCTTGTAAACTGGTAAATGTAAAATGCTTTTTTTTTTAATTATTTGTTTATTATGTAGTAAAAAAATACTGACATATTTTTGTAAGAGATGTCAGTAAATTATTTCAGTTCAGTGGAACTGACCGCGTAGAAAAATAATCGTATTTAAACGCGCGTATTTGAAAATAAGCAAACTCATAAAACTGCTTTTCAAGTACGACTCTGAACATGAAGTGAATTGAGATAGGTTAGGAAGGTTATAATAAATATCAAGTGAATGAACTTATATTTTTATTTAGTTCGAAAGTAGCGTGTTATCTCTTTTTAACATACTGTGGTGGATTATAATTGGAATGCATGCGTTGTAGTGAGTACCATTATGGTACGGACGGCGCGGCGGTGCGGTAAGGCAATACTGCTACACCTCCCATTCGACGAGTTTGCAGGAAAACATTATAATTGCTTTATTTAAAACGGCCACTTTTAGGACTTCAAGGTTTTTTAAATTAGCGTATACAATGCTGTTTGTCGCTGATTTTCACCGCAAACAAATATACAGGGGGTGTTGCGAATATGAAGTGACACGAAATCTCGCACCTCGTCAGTTTCGATATACAGTATGTCAAAAATATAATATGTCCATTTCTTGGAAATGAAAATAAAAATACGAAAAATATTTTGATAGAGTTAACCATTCTGTAGACAGTAAATAAATTATCCTTTTGGTTCTACATAATATAAAGCAATAAAGTATTAAAGTTTTACTTGTTTTATTCATTTCAGTGAAAAAAACTGTTCATTGTTCTTGATTTTTGATTGTGGTATCAAATAAATTTTTATCCGAATTAAATTGAGCTTTACAAATTAAAAAAATTTTTTCCCTTATAACAATGTTAAAAGAGTCATTTCTCTTGTCAAAATAAATAGAAAATAGTATATTTTGCAATAAGCCATGAAAATGTAGTTTTTTATGTGAGAAAAGTATTTCATTTTGAGACAGC